AACAAAACCACGCGATATCATTCAATATTTCCGATTTTTATGAATAAAAAGATGAAATACTTGGATAACTGCAAAATTATTTTGAGTTTGTGTTTAGTATCAGCAAATATCGGCTTTTCCGTCTTTTTCCGTGTGAGATTTCAAATTCCGTTTTGAGTGGACAATTCCGCGATTTCCGCGTTTTTTCCGCGATCACGGAAAATTTATCACCCCTATATAATGGTTAAAAAACAGATAACGTAAAGAGAATATGCAGAGAATTTCAGTCAAATTGCTCAACTCTGAACCTGAACCGAGATATTAGCGAATACATTTTAGGCCTAGCCTCAATCATCATTAATAAAGTCGGTACGATAAAAACAATGTCTCGATTATCCATTTTGACGTTAAATTATCCATCACAAAATGTATTCAAATCCACTAAACATCGCAGGCTAAAGATGGCATCAAGAATTGAGTATGGTTTGGATAAATTAATTAATGTCTAATTAATAGTTTATATAACATTGTACTTGTATTAACTAAATCATACTTCATAAAACTATTACTCTTTTTTAATCAATCCTAAGTGTAACAAAAAAAACAAAAAACTTTGCGATAGTATGTACACAGTCAAGATAGTACAACTAGCCTCGGTTTGAAATGAATGTACATTAAGTGCCCATTTACAGCCACATGACAGGTAACCTGATATTGTGTTCACTATGCAATCTTAAAGGTGCAATATGTAAAAGCTAAATCTGCGTTTTGCAGGTCCTTATTTTTAGCTTGAAACTAACTCTCTAGATCAACGGATTACGGTGATTTAAACGAATTAAATAAAGTTGATCTGCTGTGATAATAAACACGCTACACCAAGAACGGCAACGTCTGTATCTAAATCTTATTTAAAATACAGATGTGACGTCACCCTTTAATGTTGGCATACCATTATTTCAAATAATCGTACAGGCAACTTGCCAATGGTACATTATTTATACTAATGAAATATTGGACTCGCATGACGTATTTCACTGTAAAAGCCTGTGCAGAGTGTCTGTATTTTAAGTCGTTTAATGGTCTCAAAGCTTAAGACATTGTGTAATATATTGTAAAAATACTCGGGCCTACGGCTAAGTCTCTATCTCAATATCGTCCAAAGTCTTACACGGTGAAAACACGAATTATTTGTCAATCTAAATCAGCATTGATGTTGTGATATTACCGGGAAAAGATAGGCTTCTCATATCCAATATTTATGACAAAATAAATATTTTACCATTGGTACACGAATCGTGTACCATAGTGCGTTTCAGCGTCATTTGTAACAAATGACCAGAAAGAACGAGGCTAGACATATTCCACAATGCATGTCAAACGGTGACGCCATATCTTATCTGGAGAACATACGCAATAGACTGGAATAATCAGGCGCTAGAAATTGCCATTCGGTTGAGACTCATGGCATATTTCACTGAAATGTAAATCAGTTTATATACAATCATATTACATTATTATATGCGTTGAGACCCATTTATGTCAATTTCTAGGTCCCAAATATTAGCGATTTAGCTCCTTTAATGTCTCGCTCTCGACCATCAAACAATACATAATGCATCTTTAATACTTGATTTAAATTGTTAAATAAATTACTTGAACTTTGTTATCAGATCTAAATGGGCAAATTAGTTTTTAATTTGGGTCACCAAGTTTTTAAAGATAAACTTGAAGTTACTAAACAATGAATATTTCGGTCGTCTACTCCACCCCCAGGAAGTTTTAAATTTATGTTGAATTGGTTTTTATAATGAACAAACAACCACTGAAGTCAATCAAATTTGAAATTTCGTTCTGTGGAAACGAACATTTAGGTAATTTTACTTCCTATTCCTTGGTGGGGAACGGGACGATATAGATTACCGCCAAACTTTTGGAAATGAAATGGGGTTTAACGTCCTACTGTTCTGCTCCTATACTAGGCTAATGAAGACGGGCATACGCCATACAGTGTGCAATGAGGGAAATTTTGCCCAGGCAGCGCCAAACTGTTGGTGACTCTTCTCAAATCCTTTAATTTCTAATGGTTCTAATTAAGATTTGAAATATTATACAAAACATATACATGTTGTATATTATAGTGATATATTCTAAACAAAACATGATTTTATTTTATCCTGACTCCGAGCAACTAAAAATGAAATTGGTTTGGCCTGATAATGAGATAAGGGATCATAAGGTCTGTTATTGAGTCAACTGGCGGGGTTTCGATTACTTGACAAGGAGTATGGTCGCCTGTCCAACCTCGTGGTTTTTTACTCCTGGTCCTCCGGTTTCCTCTCACTGCTAAAGACCTAGTTTGTTTTGAGTGGAGGTTAAACTCTCTCTCTCTCGCTCTCTCTCTCTCTTTCTCTCTCTCTCTCTTTCTCTCTCTGGTGCTTTCTTGAATAAATAGTATTGATAATTACAGTCCCTACTGGGCGGTAAATAAAATATTTACATACATGTATATTAATCAACCATATTATATACCAGGGGCGGTTCCAGATTGGGGGGGGGGGGAGTCTACTACATACACCCCTCACTGTAAAACAACACTTTATTCTTTATCATCAGATGGTGTGATGGGTTGGGCATTCAAAGTGTGAGATAATGATATAGACATGTTAATATATCACAATTAATGCTTTGCATCAATCAAATTGAATCACAATGTCATCTTATCTATTCATTTTAAAAATTGACACCAAAGCGATGTTGGATTTCTCTCTTTAAAAGGGGGATTGGATGGCTGAATGGTTAGCGTGCGCGCTGTATTATAAAGTCTTTCATTGAGTTGACTGGCGTGGTTTCGAATCCCTGGTTGTATGTGACAAGGAGTAGGGTCGCCTGTCCAACCTCGTGGGTTTTCTCCGGGCCCTACGGTTTCCTCCCACTGCTAAAGACCCCTATGCGCAAGCAAATTATTGAAATAAAATTAAATCATATGTTGGTCCTGGGATGACCTGGTTTGTGTCGAGTGGACGTTAAACCCCATTTCTCTCTCTCTCTCTTTAAAAAGCTCAGTCTTTACATGTATGTATGCCTACGTAATTTGGAGACGATGATGGCAAACCCCCTACTACAAAAATTTTGGATCCACCGGTGTATAAATGTACATGTCACATTGTTCTAGCTGATATACCCCATTAACTGGTGAACCTATAACTTTTATACTGTGCATTATATTAATGTCAGCATATTGATATATATTTATATGTTCATGGATCCCGTTATCACATTGGTATTTAAATGTGATACAAGTATTTAATAAACAATATAAGTTTAATAAACCTGTATTTTAATATACGGGTACTTCAATAAACTGAATCGTATATCATGGTGATATCTAATTACGTGTATAGCCTGGAATAACTCTATAGAAACACACATTGTTGAAAAATAATTAAAATGTGGTTTTCTGAAAGGATAATATGTAAGGTGCTCCCACAACACCAGGCTCTTGGTCATTTTTATAAAAATTGAGCTGGCACCATATTTGAATAGTCCACAGTCTAAGCTTTCCAGAAATAAAATTCTTTTTAAATTTGTCCTATCATCTGGAGTTGAGTTTGGCTCATTCACAGCAGCAAGAAGGCATACAGTTTAGGTTTTTGTGTCCGTAGTACAAAATGAAGTTGTGCGATAAGCGCCTGCTTTCGTGGGAGTGGGTCACATATGTTAAACCATAATAATGTGAATATCTGTGATTTTATATTATTTTGTGTTAATAAACTTCAACTACATGTAACTGAACTGAGTCAATGGGGTCGTATATACTAATATATGTTTTAACCATAATAATGTGATATTTAATTAATAATCTACTGTGAATTAATATTATTTTGTGTTTATAAACTTCAACCAGCTGAACTGAATCATTGGGCTGGGGGTTGAATATTATCTGATATACCATGAACTAATAGACCATGGTTATACAAATTTATCACATAAAAAACGGACATTGTGAGGTTAACATTACAATGTATTTTTTTCTTGATTGTATTGTATTTTGATAAAACTTAATAAATTTTAAAAGAGGCAAGTCACTAACTTAATATCATCCACACATGAATTTTTTTTTGTCAATTTAAATCAACATTGATGTTGTTATCTTAGGCCATGAAAATATGGGCTTCTGATATCCAATATTTAAGACAAAATGAAAATTTAAAATTGGTACACAAATCGCGTGCCAGAATGCTTTTGAGCACCATTTTTAATGAAGCAACTCAATGAACGAGGCTAAACATATCCCACGGGAGAATACTATTGATATAGACTGGAATAACCGGACACCAAAGACAGCCATTCAATTTGGACTCTTCGCATATTTCACCGAACAGAACGGATTAGAAATTACAGTAAAACACAGAAACGATTGAATGTAGATCAGTTTATATACATTCATATTACATTATAATATGCGTTGTGGCCCATTCATGTCCATTTCTAGGTGCCAAAGAATAGAGATTTAGCTCCCATATTTATATCATGGTTGTTTGCTATCTAATATAGCCTACTAATTGTTCTACTGTTTATCAAAACCCTTATAAAACATACCAAGTCAGATAGATGAATTACTGTGTATTTTGTCTTTAACATAACAAGTTTAAGGTGACAGTATTGTGTCAAGAATGTCCGGGATATATACCCTACCTATGCTAATAGTAGGAGGTAGCAACGTCAGCTATTGACTCTATGACAAAATATGTAACTCACTGTTTACTGACATACTGACGTTAATCAGTTAATCACGTATGTCATGACAGAGAAAAATGTGGAAATATTCTCCTTGTGGGCTACGTGACAAATTGGTGCCAAGAAGAAATGTTTGTGAAATATGATGCATTTTTGGCAGTGCCATGGGTTCTGCTATTGGCTAATCTAAAAATAGTTTAGTCTGAAGATTTGTTCTGGTGGAGTCTACAACAATATACATATATATATGATCAGGTTATAGGATTAGTTCGACATGTACTCACCTCCGTGTTTCAGAGATGGACCTGCTTCAATAGGAATCACTAATAATGGAAATATTCCACTAAGTCCCACAAGCACTGCTGAAAAAAGTGAATAGCACCACGTCTCGTACGTTAAATGTCCAAGAAGCATGTTTTCGTTTGTTGAGTCCCAATCGCTCGCCACGTCTCCCTGTACTGAATTGCTATCGCGTCGACTTTTAGTTCTGTGTAAAGTGGTCTTTGTACGATGGATATCAGCAGCTGATACGCTGATGAATATCATTAGAATGATAAGTAAAATCAAAGTCACTTGATAACAACCCATTGTTTTAGGTGATATCAAATTTACACCTTTAAACCAGGACACACATTCACACCGTACATGCAACAACAACATTTGACGCGAACTTTCAACTTTGACCTCAATACAGAGCTGGCATCGCCAGCAAATCAATATGGCTATCGCTCTTAGTAACTAACAACTTTTATCTACTGTCAGCCAGTGTACGTTTAATTATTGAACATAACCCAACTGTATTTTTAGATTATGTATTAACACCCCTGTTTATTCACTGCTACGAATCTACCACCGTCTAACGGGAATTGCGTCAAAGAATTGGCCTTTGACCTACATAGCACGAATTCATTTTACTCGCGGGAAAGTATACCGTGGCTCGAAGCAAGGATGGGAATAGTTACCAGACTAAAGAACTGACGTGCCTATCGCTAGATGACTTAGTGCCGTTATAATGGAGTGAATTTGTAGATTTTGGGGGCTGGGAGGGTGATATTAGTGATGGATTTTCGGTCGGATTTATTTGATATCGCTCAAGATGCGACGCAAGTTGCTGCAGCACACACTCAGGAACGCCGTTATGCCCCGGTAAGATATATTACAATTTATGATGCACGTGCATTTCGTTTTAACTGGTGTATGAATATATGTTACAAGATCTTTTCAATATAATGTTGTAAACTGTAGCGCCATGAGTCATTATGCTGATACAGAATATATGTAACTGTTGTTACGTTGTAGATAGAATTTCTTTCTTGCAGTTATAAGCGTGAAATAACGCCTGATAATAGCTTCATTTAAGAGATTGTTACGTCACTAATTGAATTTATACTATACACTGGAAATTTTAAATTGTGCGTTTTCTATGGCCTATGCATTACCATGCCTCTAAGATTTCGTTTTTGGAATATTAATTAGTTAATTATAGGGATAAGTGTCAAAATAAATGTGTGATATGAAATATTTTTACATAAATAAATAGTTTAAAGGAGCTAAATCGCTAATATTTGGGACCTAGAAATTGACACAAGTGGGTCGCAACTCATATAATACCGTAATATGAATGTATATAAACTGATTTACATTCAATCGTTTCCGTTTTTACTCAAATTTCAAATCAGTTATGTTCCGTGAAATAAGCCAGCCGTCTCAATCGAGTGCAAATTCCTAGCGTCTGGTTATTCCAGTCTACATAAGCCGTTTGGTTTGGTGCAATATGTCTAGCCTCGTTCCTCTAGTCTCTTGCTAGAACTGGGGCTGAAACGCATTATGGTACACGATTCGTGTACCAATGGTAAAATATTTATTTTGTCTTAAATATTGGATATCAGAAGCCCACCCTTTTCCGGTAAGATCACAGCATCAATGTTGTTTTAAATTGACAAATAATTCGTGTTTTAAATGTTGAAGATTTTGGATGATATTGAGTTAGAGACTTACCTCCTTTAATCTCTGATGTAGGTCTGTATATATAATTATACATATCAGCATATATAATTTTTTAATATACCAAGGTGAGGTAACAATTTTATCAGTAAACACTTTTATTTAAACATGTATAGATTCAAAAAATTACATTTCTTTTTTTTAGAAACTATAGACCTATATATAACAAACATAGGTGTATGAATGTATGAGCCAGGGGGCCAGGCCCCGAACTTTCAACAATTTTTTCATGGGGGGGGGGCAAACCCGATTTTTTTCGGGCATTTCTAGTTCTCCCCCCCTAACAGTCATTGAAGCGGTATGCCTATGATGACAAAAACTTTATTATAGGTGCCCTGAATTTAGAAGAAAATCTTTTAGTTGGATAAAATGCTAATACAATATTAAATCCTTTAGTTGTGAGAGAGAAATGGGGTTTAATGTCCACTCGACACAAACTAGGTCATTTCGGGACTAACGTATGGTTTAATTTTATTTACATAATTCGCTTGCGCAGTGGGAGGAAACCGGAGGCCCTGGAGAAAACCCACGAGGTTGGATAGGCGACCCTACTCCTTGCCACGTACAACCAGGGATTCGAAACCATGCCAGTCGACTCAATGACAGAATTTATGATACAGCGCGCGCACGCTAACCATTCAGCCATCCAACCCCCCACCCTTTAGTTGTAAAAATGTTTACAATATTAAATCTTTTAGTTGGAAAAGATGTTTACAAAATATATTGAATATTTTAGATCAGTAAGATGTTTACAATAGTAGATGTAGGTGAGAAATCCAGATATTAAAAAGTCCTTACAATAAAGCCAAATTTTGGACGACAATAATAAGTCTACTAGGAATATATCAAAATTAGTAAATGCGCTGTGAAGCCCAATTTGGTACATTTTTTTATTAATTTTCTTACATTGTAATTAAACAGGCATTATGCAAGAGATAAATCCGCCTATTGCAGATCTTTCTTTAGGCCTATGAATAATTAATTAGACATATTAACTTACCCAAGGACAGCTGTCTAGTCGTTCGGATATGATGAAAAACTAAGGTCCCATATACAGATTGGTGTGCACGTAAAGGATCCCTAGGCAGTTGGAATTTGATATAAGAATAGGCCATAGTGCCACTGTCCGGGCAAAATTTCCCTCATAGCACACTGTATGGCGTATGCCCGTCTTCATTAGCCCAGTGGAGCAGAACAGTAGGACGTTAAACCCCATTTCATTTCATTTCCATAAACTTACCAAGACCGGAATCAACTCGTGATGCCATCAGATGGTTGAGATATAAGTAGATTTAAATACATGGATAATCAAGACTTTGTTTATTATCGTAACAATGGTAGTAATGACAATCAAGGCTAGACTATAATATATCGTCAATACCTAGACTCAGGGTGAAGTAATTTGACTGACATTTTCAGCATGTTCTTTTTTCATTATTTATTTTTAAAGTGCACATAAGATGGGTCTGGAAACTTTGAGATACATGTAGCCAATGGTTACTTTATCCACTTTACGGCAAGTTCACACCAATCTGATTGAAATTAATTCAGTTATCTTCACTCAAAGTCGCAAAAATAGACCTCCCATAAAAACGACTTTGCCAATTATCGAAAACACTCTTAATCCCCTCAGACGCCAGTGACGTCACAGTGACCGAATGCATATTCGGAATGTTTATTCCTTAATTACCTATATACAGCTGGCGTGTGTATTCGTTAATGTTTGACTGACTCCTTAATCCCCTAATTAAATAAAACAATCGACTGCGGAATAATTTGTTTTGTAATTTATTTTAATTTAAGATCCTATTTAGAATTTGTTTTATAATGTCCCGCCCTCTCTTCTCACGACAGCGATTTTAAAACTGTGTTTTAAAGTGACTTTTTGATAAGAGCCACTCTACAATCGTGTGCAGTCCAAATGATTCGAAATATATTTCCGTCAGAAGAGTATTGTGGTTCTAATTTCCCCGAGTAAAAGAGTACAGAAGTGAAAGATGTGGTCATGCAAAATGAATCATTAAAGTCAAACATGACTGAAATGTGATTTTTTAACGATGATCCGTAGCTCGATTTCCTGTAGTCATCGTACGGCGTCTTTCTTTATGTATGTGGATTTGACTTCATTACTCTGAAATCAACCGTAAAAATGAAATAGGAACAAATATCTCAATATTATACGTTAGAATTAAGAGATTGAGAACGGTCATCTAACTATCTTTGTGTATTGATAAAGTGTACTGTCGTTAATATCTATCATTAATCAATCGGACTAAAGTTGCAGACATGGGGCCATAAATTAATTTACATATTGATGTAGATTATGATTAGCGTTGCACACACATGGGGTTATAAATTAATTTACAAGTAAAGATGTTGGATTAAGAATGCTGATTAGGTTATTATTAGCCCGCCCGATCAAAGACATCACTCTAGGTAGAACTCCACGAACGAACGACACAAGTTACGGGGGAACTTTGCTGCAAACATTTCTCCACACCACAACTAATGGTTGAATCGTACATTACTCATCAGTTGTTTATAATTATTTTTTACCCAATAATCAATTAGATTTGTTCACCGATGTTTTTGTAATAAAGTAGCCTCGTATTATTTGTTGATTGGCGTTTAGACAATATTTAATGGACTTGATACGAAATCTGAATATAAATTATTCGATGCAATTGTCGCTCCAAAATTTAACGTCAGTTACTACGGCCGTAGTATGCATGGTACCGTACACGGTAATAAGACTCCCAGCGATGATTGGCTGAGAAATGAGGGCGATCTATTGTTATGCATAGTCATTGAACAATTAAATATTCGCCGTGAATTTCAAATGGAGTTACGATATAAATTGTTTGTGTATAGAAATGCTTATTATAATTATATATAGCCAATAATGAATATAACGACAAATTACTGGCACTATTTGTATTTCTGTGCTTATATAGAGATAGTTTGGGAAATCAAATATTATCCAAATTACCGGTAAATGGGCTAATTGCTTGGGTCGTCTTCATCTGTCACGTGACCTTTTTAAATAAAGGACGCTTAAATTGGTCTACGGCATGATAAAGCATTTTAAATTCACTCGAAAATACTCCAATCACAAAAAGTCTAATCTATAACAGTACAAGACGATAATTCGGGGATTATGATTAGGCCAGTCACGTGTTAATTGAACCGTGATGTATATATCAGAGATATACTGTACAGGTAGTGATATATTGTGTATAAATAATGTATATACTATGTGTAGTGCCTGTGACGTCACCAGCCAATCAACCTAAATAAAGACATGTAATGGACAGATATAGCTCTTGCATAATGCCTGTTTTATCAACCATTACACTATATAATCAGTTGGAGTAGATATTAGTAGGGATTAAGTCGTGATATGACTACATTAGTAGCAGCTTTTATAAAATTGACACAATTGATAGAATGTAATTAACACCTGTGTTTGGAGGATAATGGCTCGGTGCTATTAAATCAAGTTCAATAAAGACAGACTTTAACATTAATCAAAAATAGAAACTCAGTAAATAATTTATTTACAAAAAGTATTGTAGGATAATTAATTAAAGATACATTATGGGAGATTTGATAATGAGTTGGCAGTTCTCACTATAATAATTAAAAACTAGATGATGTAAAGGCAATTTGCTGCAAATTTCATTCAAATTGATCCACTATGAACCGAAAACTAAGCGATT